TCCCTCTCCAGGTTCCCTGGTCCAGGCAGCGCTGACTCAGACGCCCTCAGTGTCAGCGAACCTGGGAGAAACCATCAAGTCTGGGATTGACAGCAGCAGTTATGCTTATGCTGGCTGGTACCAGCAGAAGACACCTGGCAGTGTCCCTGTCACTGTGATCTATGCTAGCACCAGAAGACCCTCGGACATCCCTTCACGATTCTCTGGTTCTGCATCTGGCTCCACGGCCACGTTAACCATCAGTGGGGTCCAAGCCGAGGACGAGGCTGTCTATTACTGGGGTAGCATCGACAGCAGCAGTGTTGCTGCCACACTGACACGGAGCAATGGGGAAGTGATACAAAAATCTCCCACCATCACAGGGGCCAGTTAGGACCTTCTGCTGTCCCCATTTGATGGTGGGGCAGTTTTAGGGCATTAGCTTATTCAGGGCATTGTCCAAATGCTTCTATAACACCGACAGGCTTGGGGCACCAACTACCTCTCTGGGAGATCTGTTCCAGTGTCCGACCACCGTCTTGGTAAAGAAATGCAGGGATAGAATCATTGAATCATAGAATCGTTTAGGTTGGAAAAGACCTTTAAGATCATCCTGTCCAACCATTAACCTACACTACCAAGTCCACACTAAACCAATTAAGGGTAGACTAGGCTAAACCATGTCCCAGAGTGCCACATCTACCCATGTTTTGAACACTTCCAGGGATGGTGACTCCATCACCTCTCTGGGAAGCCTGGTCCAATCCTTTCCGTGAAGAAATTTTTCCTAATATCCAACCTAAACCTCCCCTGGCGCAGCTTGAGCCCATTTCCTCTCGTCCTATCGCTAACTACTTGGGAGAAGAGACCAACACCCACCTCACTACACCCTCCTTTCAGGTAGTTCTAGGGAGCGATAGGGTCCCCCCTCAGCCTCCTCTTCTCCAGGCTAAACAACCCCAGTTCCCGCAGCCGCTCCTCATAAAGCCTGTGCTCCAGACCCTTCACCAGCTTTGTTGTTCTTCTCTGAACACGCTCCAGCACCTCAATGTCTGTCTTGTAGTAGGGGCCCAAAAGTGGACACAGTAGTCGAGGTGTGGCCTCACCAGCGCCGAATACAGGGGGACAATCACCTCCCTGCTCCTGCTGGCCACACTATTCCTGATACAATTTTCCAATTTTACAATATTCCTGATCACGTGCGCATGGTGCTGTTGGTGCCTGGCTCCTGCCTTTCTGACGTCTCACAATAGTCTCACTCTTGTGAAG